AGAGCACTGCAGTTCATCATATCTCTCATGGACAGCTGGATGTAGCTTGAGAATGCTGAGGTTTTCTTTTCATTCAACAGGCTTATCCAGCATCCAGGAGTGAATCAATGACACTGCGTAGTTGTGTGAACCATGCAAAAGTTCAACTCTCTTTCTGAAACATGAACAGCAAGTGCAGTTTATCTGTGAGGAACTTCTCAGCCCATTTCATATTTTAATTCCAATCACTGAAGCGTGCAGAGCTTGTGAGAGACTTGTTGATTGGAGAGGCACTCTTAGTTCAATGCAAGCCCGAAGCTCCCCACATAAATCCAGATGTCATACATAGAGAGCAAGCTCTTCATTAATCAGTTATTGGGTACACAGTGACTAGGCCTCAGACACTTAAGATTTAAAATCCTAATTTGGTTTTGAACAGTGTTGTTAATTGAATTGTACATTTCCCTCCAGCTCCCCTTTCTCAAGGAGAAATACAGAAAGAAGGGGAATTTGCATTTTAACAGATCATTTGATCCTGCCAATAGTCTAGATGGTATTCTGATTCAGGTTTGACATGTGTTTATGTTTCTGTGATACAGAAGAGTCATCCTTTGTACCAAAACAATTCCTTCACAGAGGACTGAATTTTGTTTTTGGCTAAGTCTGAGATGTGTCAATTTCTTCAGAGGGATTTTTGCCACAAGGCGTAACGAATTTTGAGTGCTGTCTTACCAAACACAGCTTATTAATTACCTAGCCCACCCCTAGAGCATATCTCATTCCAATTTCCACCACACCTTATCACACACCATTCCTGGAACAATTCACCACTCAGTAGATGTCTAAGGCTGGCATCCCTTGTGCCCATGTCACCTTTAATAGCCTATTGTGCACTAGGATGAGAACTGCCATTCTGATGCGGACCTGCCCACAGACAGACCGAAGGGGAAGATGGCACTTCCATTCTCTGGAGTTTCTGGTCCAGAGGAGAAGTGTCTTCTTTCCCAAGGACTGGCAGAGGAAGCCGTGCCACCAGACACTGCTTGACTGGTATGACGCCATCACCTGGGTCAGTGACATCTCCACGGTGCAGAGGAACAGCCTGCAATGCAGTAAGAAGGTAATGACCTTGGCCATTATTGTCCATGCTTTGGACGCTTTAACAAGTTTATATATTAAAATACTTTACCCAAGCGTTCCTGTCAGTGAGGCGGATAAAGGGGCATAGAATTCGGTTTGTGGATCAACTCGATTTTATTAACAAAATATTTCTGATTAAAAACACCAATTGTGCATTTCCCAAATTTCCACAATATTTACTCTCCATCTAGCTTGGTCTGTCTGAGAAAGGACATTACCTGTAGTAATCCACATGTTTGTGCTGGGCTGTTAGAATCTCCTTCCTCTCCAACATAGGGCTGTCTCACTTCCACAAAGGGGAAAGAACAAAGAACAAAGAACAAAGAACAAAGGACAAAGAAAATTACAGCACAGGAACAGGCCCTTTGGCCGTCCAAGCCTACACCACCATGCTGCCCATCACAACTAAAACTCGCTACCCTCCTGGGGACCATATACCTTTATTCCCATCCTATTCATGCATTTGTCAAGACGCCCTTTAAAAGCCACTATAGTATCTGTTTCCCCTACCTCCCCTGGCAGCAAGTTCCAAGCACCCACCTCCCTCTGTGTAAAAAACCTGCCTCGTACGTCACCTTTAAACCTTGCCCCTTGCACCTTAAACCTATGGCCCCAAGTAACTGACTCTTGCACTCTGGGAAAAAGCTTCTGACTATCAGTCTGTCCATGCCCTTCATAATCTTGTAGACCTTTATCAGGTTGCCCCTCAACCTCTGTCGTTCCAGTGAGAACAACACAAGTTTCTCCAACCTCTCCTCATAGCTAATGCACTCCATACCAGGCAACATCGTGGTAAATCTTTTCTGTACCCTCTCCAAAGCCAGTCTCCAAAGCACCACATCCTTCTGGTAGTGTGGCGACCAGAAGTGAACACAATATTCCAAATGCGGCCTAACTAAGGTTCTATAAAGCTGCAACATTACCTGCCAATTTTTAAACTCAGTGCCCCAGCCAATGAAGGTAAGCATGTTGTATGTCTTCTTGACTACATTCTCTACCTGCGTTGCCACTTTCAGTGACCTGTGTACCTGTACACCCAGATCCCTTTGCCTATCAGTACGCTTAAGGGTTCTGCCATTTACCGTATATTTTCCATCTGCATTAGACCTTCCAAAATGCATTACCTCACATTTTTCCAGATTAAACTCCATCTGCCATCTCACTGCCCAAGTTAGCAAGCGATCTATATTCAGCTTACCCTTTGAAGGTCCTCATTGCTATCTGCAATTCCACCAACCTTTGTGCATCGGCAAACTTACTAATCAGACCAGTCAGATTTTCCTCCAAAATCAGTTATATACATTACAAAAAGCAAAGGTCCCAACACTGATCCCTGAGGAACGCCACTAGTCACAGCCCTCCATTCAGAAATACACCCTTCCACTGCTACCCTCTGTCTTCTATGACTGAGCCAGGCTTTTTATCCATGTATTTAGTTGCAAGCTCACCTCTGACCCCATGTGACATTACCTTCTGTATCACGAGGGACCTTGTCAAAGGCCTTACTGAAGTCCATGTAGACAACATCCACTGCCCTACCCTCATTGATCATCTTCGTCACTTCCTCAAAAAACTCAACCAAGTTAGTGAGACACGACCTCCCCTTCACAAAACCATGTTGCCTCTCGCTAGTATATACACTTATTTCCAAGTGGGAGTAAATCCTGTCTTGACGAATCCTCTCCAATAGTATCCCTACCACTGACATCAGGCTCACTGGCCTGTAATTAGCTGGATTATCTTTGCCACGTTTCTTAAACAAAGGAACAACATTGGCTTTTCACCAATCCTCTGGGACCTCCCCTGTAGCCTGTGAGGATACAAAGATTTCCCTCAAGGCCCCAGCAATTTCCTCCCTTGTCTCTCTCAGTAATCTGGGGTATACCCCATTAGGCCCTGGGGACTTGTCTACCTTAATGTTTTTTCAGACCCCCAATACCTCCTCCCTTTTGATCTCAACATAACCTAAACTATCTGCACATCCTTCCCCAGATTCATCATCCACCAAGTCCTTCTCTATGGTGAATACTGACACAAAGTACTCATTTAATACCTCACCCATTTCCTCTGGTTCCACACATAAATTCCTTCCCTGTCCTTGAGTGGGCCAACCCTCTGCCTGGCTATCCTCTTGCTCTTTATATATATATATATATATAAAGCCTTAGGATTTTCCTTAATCCTGTTGGCCAATGACTTTTCATGGCGCCTTTTAGCCATCCTGACTCCTTGCTTAAGTTTCTTTCAACTTTCCTTGTATTCCACCCTTGCTTCGTGTGTTCCTAACCTCTTAACCGTGATAACAAGGTGTGGAGCTGGATGAAAACAGCAGGCCACGCAGCATCAGAGGAGCAGGAAAGCTGACATTTTGGGTCTGGACCCTTCTTCAGAAATGGGGGAGGGGAAGGGGGCTCTGAAATAAATAGAGAGAGGGTGAGGCAGTGATAGAAGGTGGATAGTGGAGCAGATAGGTGGAGAGAAGACGGACAGGTCAAGGAGGCGGGGATGAAGCTAGTAAAGGTGAGTGTAGGTAGGAAGTGGGGGTGGGGGTTGGTCAGTGAGGTGGGAGGAGCGGATAGGTGGGAGAGAAGACAGACAGGTCAAGGAGGCGGGGACGAGAGGGGGTGGCTGGTCTTGGGATGACGTCGGGGGTGGGGAGATTTTGAAGCTTGTAAAGTCCACATTGAGACCATTGGGTTGTAGGGTTCCAAGGCGGAATATGAGGTACTGTTCCTCCAATTTTTGGGTGGCATTGTTGTGTCACTGGAGGAGGCCCAGGATGGACATGTCATCCAGGGAGTGGGAAGGGGAATTGAAGTGGTTCGCGACTGGGAGGTGTTGTCGTTTGTCGCGAACCAAGCGTAGGTGCTCCACAAAGCTGTCTCCGAGCTTCTGCTTGGTCTCACCAATGTAGAGGAGACCACATCGGGAACATTGGATACAATAGACCACATTAGCGGATATGCAGGTGAACATCTGTTTGATGTGGAAGGTTTTCTTGGGGCCTTGGATGGAGGTGAGGGGGGAGGTGCAGTGGCAGGTGTAGCACCTCCTGCGGTTGCAGGGAAAGGTGCCGGGGGTGGTAGGGCTAGTGGGGAGTGTGGAGCGGATGAGGGAGTCGCGGAGAGAGCGGTCCCTCCAGAAGGCAGATAAGGTTGGGGAGGGAAATATATCCTTCGTAGTGGGGTCAGTCCTCAGTAAAGGACTCACCTTTATTCCCCTCCATCCGAACATCAATAAATACCGCTCATGCCTAGACATTGAGCAGTTTATCCGCCGCCTCTGCCTCCGCGCTTATTTCTTTAATCGTGAGTCTAACCCCCTTTAATGACCCCTTCTCCCACCTCCAACACACGCCATCCTCCTGGACACCACTCCAAGGCCAGACTGTAGACCAAAGAATAAAATTCTGTCCCTGTAAGACAGCACAGTACTCCCTCAGTGCCAGTGGAGTATCAACCTGTCTATTGCCTGTGTTGCAGTTTCTGGAAATGAGCAAATCACCTACTGACTCAGTCATGTTGGTGGTAGTGGTAACGTCTCTGGACTAGTAACCCAGAACCCCAGGCTAATGTTTCAGGTACATGGACTTGAATCCCTTTATGGCAGATGGTGAAATTTGACTTCGTTAAAAATCTTGATTAAAAACACAGCTATCTTAATGACAACCACATAATCAATGTCAATCGGGATCCCCAATATCCTTTAAAGAATGGAATCTGCATCATTATCCAGAGTAGCCTACATGTGAAGTCTTCAGACTGAGAACAATATGGTTCCCTCTTAACTATCCTCTAAACAACTAGAGACGGGGCGATAAGCGCTGGCCTAACCAGGCACACTGCATCCCATGATCCTATATAAAAGTGTGAGAACTACCAACGCAGCTGGAATTGTTGGGAAAAAGACGCAGAGAGAGACTCTTACAGCCTGCTTATCATAGCAATGAGAGCAGTCTGCCTTCAGCTAGCCCTTTAAGAGTGGGGCAGTGGTTCTGATGGTTCACGTGTTGCCTTGTTGGGTTCAACCCGCTGCGGCCAGTCAATTCCCGTTAGTATTTCATCGGGAGGGCTGCTGTGCTTTTGTTTATTCGTTATGGCTTTGCCGGAAGATGTAGTTAGTGGTAGTGAGGAACATAAAGATGTTCAGGTTTGGATGTGTGCGTGTTTTAATGAGGTTGATCAATATTATCTGTTTGCGTTTTTTTGTTGATTTGGGTTATTTGTATTTAGGAAATATGTTCAGCGACTACAGAAGCTCCCTTGTTCGCCTTCTTTAGCAGGATGTCTCGACTCGGGCCTCTAAAATACCTGGTATGTGGATACTTCCTCTGCACCAGCTACTGTACTGTTATGGTCTAATACTGCAAACTGGAAGTTGAGGGGTTACCTGTCCCAGACTGTGGAACCTCCAGCCTCAGCAATTAACTCGCACTTTGGATTTTTTTTTTATTTGGCTAGAATTAAAGCGCCCTTGTTTGCATTCCAGTTCCACCGTGTTACAATGTGGCGTGCTGTTTCCTTTATGGTTTTTGTGTGCCTCGAATCTCCTTAACGCTACCAGGAGTCTCTCAATTTTCGCGAACATTTACTTCGTTCATTGTAAATTAGAACAAGGGGCAATAAATGTAATGAATTGTAATTTCCTTTGTATTACTGATACCGTCGTGACTATAAACTAGTGAGGGTGTTGAAGCAGCTGGAGGCATTAAAAAGCCTCCCTCTACAGGGCTATCACTTGGAAAAAGAGAATGCATTATCGTCGTTGAAGACGAATGACGATGCCATTAGGATAATTTCGGTTTAAACCATCATGCTTTCCCGTGGTTCGTAATCCTACACGGACACGTGGAAAATACTCACTTTGCCTCGATTAATGTTTTGACATTTTGAGTACCAGTCTCTCCCTTTTTACGGTGGGTTAGGATAAAGATGAACTGGTAGAAACTTGCCAAGCGAGAGATCTGGGAAGGGAGAACATGATGAAAATCATTACACTGTGAGGCCAATGGTACTGATGCTTCCCTTTCCAATATCTGTCAAGGGTGTTCCTTTTGTACTGCATACATTACTTTAAATCTATTTGATTTAGTTGCATGAAATCTATTAACTCTTTCTGAAATTAGAGTAATCTTTACTTTGATGCAGCCTAACAGTTTCTTTACTGGTCAGTATTTGGAGTTATGCAAACTCCTGATGTGACATCCTGTATACATTTTTTTTGAGATAACAAGGTGTAGAGCTGGATGAACACAGCAGGCCAAGCAGCATCAGAGGAACAGGAAGGCTGACATTTCGGGCCTAGAATTTTTTTCTATCTTTCTTAATCAGCCTGGTCAGAGATGTTATTATAGACCTCAGCGGGTCATAGTCATACAGCATGGAAACAGACCCTTTTTTGTTTTGGTCCAACCAGTCTATGATGACCGTAATCCCAAACTAAACTAGTCCCACCTACCTGGTCCTGGTCCATATCCCTCCAAATGTTTCTTATTCATGTACTTTATACAAATATCCGCATCCACCACCACTTCCTGTGGAATGAACTTCCAGATGTGAACCACCATTTTTATTTAATCTTTCTCCTCTCGCCTTTTAAAAATATGCCGCCATGCTGTGGAAAAGATATTTGCCATTCACCTTAACTATATCCCTAATGATGTTATAAACTTCTTTAACCTACTACGCTCCAGTGGAAAAGGTCCCAGCCTCTCCTTGTAACTCAAGCCTTCCTTTCCCAGCAACATCCTTGTAAATCTCTTTTGAACCCTCTCCACCTTAATATCCTTCCTACAGCAGGGTGACCAGAACTGTATACAGTATTCCAGAAGAGGCTTCACTAACGTCCTAGACAACCTTAACATGATGTTCCAACTCCAATACTCAAAGCACTGAATAATGAAGGCATGCATGCAAAACGCCCTCTTAATCACCCTGTCTGCATGTGTCACAAACTTGACTTGAGCCCCGGCCTCTTGATCCAGGGATAGGGACACCGCCGCTGTACCACAAGTGACTTCATCTGACAAAAGAGCAGCTCTCTGAAAGCTTGTGATTCCAAATAAATCTGTTGGACTACAACCTGGTGTCATGTGATTTCTCACACGATAAATGAAAGCAATATTTGGAGAAACTCAAGTTTGGTAGCATCTGTGGAAAGACTAGCAATGTTAACATTTGAATCAAATATGATTCTTTTTGGACTGAACATTATCTCTGGTTTTGGCAGCAACTGTGCAGAGTTTCTTCAGCAGTTTAGTTTTATTTCGGTCTCCAGTATCTACTGTATTTTGTCTGTGTGCCTCCATTTCTAATGTTGTCATCCTCCTTCATGTTATTTTATTCGCCCATCAAACTTTGAGGTAAATCTACATGGTGCATGTGTGTGTGTTTATTGCTGCATTTACAAATACTAGTTAATTGCATTTCAAACAACTTTCTATGTTTTGAATGAAGATTGCAAATTAATTCCATTTCCTTACTATGCTTTAAGATAATGTTCCCACATTTCTCAGCCTCTAACTGGAAATCTTAATGTAACTAATGCCATTTGCTAGAAATTTTATTTCTCTTCCACAAGTTCGTTCTTAATTTGTTCATGGGATGCAGGCATAGCTGACTAGATCAGCTTTATGCACATCCTAACTACCCAGAGGGCATTTAAGAGTCAACCATGTTGCTCTAAGTTGATTCATATAGGCCAGACCAGGTAATGACAGCAGATTTTCTTCCCCAGAGGACATTGATGAAGTAGGAGAGTTGATTTTTTTCTTGTTTTGCAACAATTGATAGACATTACATAGTTGCCATTAGGCCAGCCTTTAATCCTAGAATTCAAATTCTGCCATCTGCCATGGTAGGGTTTGAATCCATTCTCTCTGAACACTTGACCTGGTGTTCAGGATTACAAGTCCGTTAGCATATATCACTACACCACCGCTTCCCTTTGCATGTGTACCTTAACCATAATGTAAGTGAAAAATTAGAAAATGCCTCTTGATCTCATTTACCAGGTTCAGTGGTGCTGGCTGTGAAGTAACTAATTGTGAGATTTTAAATTTATTTGTGTTTTTATCAAAATTAATGTTACTGTGGCAATGTATATAAGATTGCTTTTGAGATCAATTAGGTGGTACTTTGGACCACTTTTCTGTCCATTTGCTAAATTCCCATTGTTACGATATAATGCATGTTTTAAATGATGTAATGAATACCGTGTCACAGTCAGCTTCCTCCACCGTTTTGGAGTAGGAATGGTGAAGAACCTAGATCTGCACTGGCAGCAAAAAACAATTGTGTGTTGGAGTGAAAAAAAAAAAACTCAATTGTTTGAATGACGACTTATTTTGAGGCTGGTTGAGATTTTTACAATGATCTAGAGTAGCTGATCTAGACAGACCCAAAGGTTTCAGGTTTGGTTCTTAGTCTGTAGTGAGCAAACCGTAAAATAGGTTGCTGGGATATTGAAAGCCACTGTGTCTTGACCTGGATTTAATTTTAATTTTAACTTTAATTTTATCTATGCCTATTCTATATAGGTCTTAACACTGCAGAACTGGGCCTAGAATGTAAATGGCTCCCTCATGCACCACTTCTCCAGTCATTCAGTCATCTGCTCTAGCATTCTATTTCTATGCTCAGTGGCACTTTGTACCAGGGTGATCTAGGAAATGTGTACCCTTTTCGAGATCCTTCTTGCTAGTTTGTTTCTTGCACCTTAAAATTTGGCTGTAGGATCTTGTTCAACTTTCTGCCTGTGCTGTTAGAATCATGAATACTGATTACTGACTGGCCCTGTTGGTGTGCTCTGTATTCACTTGATGATCTCCTTGATTTGGCACCAGGGAGACAACATACCATTTTGGATTCTGGTTTGTGGCTGCAGGGCTTCAAAATCCCTTGACTGTTACTTTCCCAATCGTCCTCTGCACAGCCGAACCAGTTCTAGTGCCTTTATCTCAGTTCTGGCCATGTTTCCAAGTGGAGCAATCACTCTCTCCAGTGAGGTTGAGAAAAGGTCACGGTAGCGGCCCCAGCACTTTTTTGGCCTAGTCCTGCTTGACTGCCTTGTGGTCATTCATTCTCTTTGTGATGACTTGCAGTGCGGTCACATCCAGAATCATGTTACCGTGTAGTTTCTACCTGCAACAGGAATGAGATGTCCTACCATGCCTTTTGTGGACTGTTAACTGACTTAACAAAAGTAATCTTGTCACTTTACCAATGGCCCACGAATCAAATGCCTTCTTTGTACTAACATCCATTTTATAGGATGGTTATTTTAAATAAGAGACTGACTTCAGTGTCACAAATTCAAAACTTAGTCTATTAAATGTTTAAAGGCTTTAATTTAATCCATTGCCCTTAATTTTTCCAAATAAAGGCAACAGCCATGTTCATTTTATATTAATCTTGAATTAAGCGCAACTTGCATTTACCGGAATGATTCTTGGACTCCAACACTGAAATTATGAAGAGAGATTAAATAAACAATATTAAATTCTCTGCTTTCCTAACTGTCTTCAAGAATTTCAATGTCAGTAGGTTTGGGAATATAGAACTAGAGGCTGCATAGTCTTTAAATTAGGCCAAGACTCATCAAGTGAGATTAGGGAATGCTTGCCTGAAAAAGGAGACACCATTTGAATTCTTCTGCATTTGACACTAGAAATGAGAACTTCTAAAATCTGGGATCAAAGATATTGAAGAATATGGGATAAAAATTAGTAACTGGGGTTGTGCTTGAGATCAACCATGATCTCACTAACTGGCACAACAGGCTGAAGGTGTAAAATGGCTTGGTTACTAAATTGGTCACCTATAATTGGATTATGCACTGCGTGGACCTATAAAGTGTAAATTTAAAGGAAAACATTTCTGCATGTTTAATGGCTGAGCTGCAGCTTCCTGCACCTGATTCTGAGGTAGCATTTTAGAAACGTACTGATGACATCTAAACTACTTGAGGTTTATTTTTGTGTAAAAGTTTGTTTTTTTTTCTAGTTCAGCGTGATTTGGAGGTTGACGACATGGGCCAGTTCCTCGGTGCCAGTGGAAGAAGTAAAAGCTGCTGACACGAATATGCTCGTGGGAAGGCGCTGGGTTACAGGGAAGAAACGCCTAAGCAGATTAGCTCGCTTTGTGTTTTCTATGACACCCTACAGACTGCAACAGATGCTTGGCTTCCCTGTGCCCAGCAGTTTAGGCCAAGGTGAAATTGCAGATGGTAGGCATTATGTGAAGTGACTTCTTTATGAAAAAAAAATTCGCTACTTTCTATGCATAAGTGATTAGACTATCTCCCTTGCTTGTTTTGAGTATGCAATTAGGATTATGTAATTGTTTGTTTGATGTTTGCAAATCTTGTGCATAGCAGGCTAAATGGGGAGTTATGCTGCATTCTTCAATCCCCACAATTGGGGAAACATTTTAACGAATCACAGCCCGATCTGGTCCTCAGTGGCACGCTCTCATTCGGAGAGCTTGCATTAGCTTACCAAAAACAAAACCATGTGCTGTAGTCAATAATAATATAGAATAAATAGTAAATGCTTCTGTTAGTCCTTTTTGACTACAGCTGGTCTGTATTTAATAGCCAGATGATTTGAGTGATATATTATGAATGATCATGGATTCAGAAATTTTATTGGCTGAAAGATGTGCCAGACAGCCGAATTCTATTTTCCACCATTTGATCAGTTGCTCTGCAGGTTATGGGACTTGAGTGTTGTTTCCAGACACCTTCCTTTCCTTTCCTTTCCCGGAAAGGATTTGAACGTTTCTGCTTCTACATTCCTGGCAGGAAGCGGGGTGCAGACCCTCGTAAGAAGTGTTTCTTATCGCCCTCTCCTCTTTCCACTAATCACTCTCAAATCTGTCCCCGCTAGTCACTGACCTCATTACTAAAGATAAATAGATATTTCCCATCCACTCTATTTTCAGGTCTTTCACAACTATGTACATTTTCCCTTTGGCTTCCTCTGTTTCGAGGACAACAATCCCAGCCTATCCAATCTTTTCTCATGACTGTATTTGTCCAGATAGGGCACCAATCCCCTCAATCTCTCTGGTCCAATTACATCCCTTTCTGGAGTGAGGTGACCATAAACTAAGTACAATACTGAAGTTACGGCTTAACAAACAACTTGCACGGTTCCAGCATAACCTACCTCCTCTTCGTATTGTATACCTCCACTGATAAAGGAAGGGATTCCATATGCTGCCTTAACAATCTTTTGTTGACCTGTTTTTCTACCTAGATATTTGCTCAAGGTCACTCATTTCCTAGAACCTTGGTATTGTCCCAATAATTATGTATTCCTTTTGTCTTGTTTGACCTTCCCGAATGCCTCCTTTTTCTCTCTCTCGTGTTGAATTTGGAAATTGCCTGCTCACCTGGCCAGTCCATTGATATTTTCCCAATGACATGCCCTACATTTCGATTGAAGTCGTTGATTGCCTGACAAACATATCCACTAATGTCCTCCTTTCATTTTCAGTTCTGAATGTACACTTGAGCCTCCATTCTCCCGAAACTGTAATATGTCCTCATGAACAGATTTGGCAGAATATAGTTTTCCAGGATTTTTGCAAGGAAGTGCTTCTGAGCAGTAGGCACTTGTTCCCCTTTTAAAAACTGTACCAGCAATTCACTATTCCAGTTCTTTGTAAATTGCGTCTTTTTACAACGCTTGTTTTGGCTCATTTCAAGTTCGAACGAAAGGTAAGTGAGCATCCTACAGATCAGCAGCAGTCAGTGCTGTGTAACTGGCTCTTCCTTCCTACTTTTTTCAATCATGTTAAAGTTTCCTGAGATGCCAATAGGAACTTGTTGTCGAGAGACCATTTTGCTGCTGTTAGCAACCTAGAATTGTTACTGTTGTGACATGATTTCTGTGATTCTTGGATCTTGGTGTAGGGGGAAAAAGAATGAAGTGACTTCTAACTATGGAGACAAAAAAGCTCCTTTCTTTACTCGCTTCATTCTACCTGTCCCCTGCAACAATTTGGATTTACCTGCTAAGTTAGAAAGGACTCGACTGTAAGAACTGGGATCATAAACTCAACAGATTTGGTTCTTTTCAGCAAGTTAACTTTGTTAAAAACTATATGTAGAATGGTTTCAGATTTGACTTTCACACGCTTGCAATTACAGTTCATCAACACACTAAGAGATAGCAAGAACTGCAGATGCTGGAGTCAGTCAATACAGTGTAGAGCTGGAGGAACACAGCAGGTCAGGCAGCATCAGAGGGGCCAGAAAGTCAGTGTTTCGGGTATACACCCTTCATCAGGACTGGGGAGGGGTAAGGGAGCTTGAAAATAAATAGAGATTGGAGAAGGGAAGGATACCTTGCCTGAACTAGTCCATAGAAATGTAAAAAGAGATGGAAAGACAGTAGCTGGATGACTCAGCTGACTTCAGGTTGAATTGATGGCCTGTGATCTATCTTTAATAGTCCTGTTGCATCTGATTCAAAGATATTGCTCGAGGTAGTGCTAGTTAAATTTTCTTGGATCATAGCTGCAACAGGAGTGTCTCTGGGCTCAGAGAATTCGTTATGTCTTTTAAGATTACCTTGAAATTTGAAGGTTACAGAACTCTACTCACTGCTACCTTTTTAAAAGTGTATTTTTAAATTGCTGACTATTTATGGAGTAGAGTTCCATACTTCTGGAATGTATAAAAATGGAGAAATAGATTTATTTCTTTCATTATATTTGAAATGGCCTACATGTTAGGTTTTTTCACTTCAGCCGGGAATACAGGTTTGGTAATATGGATACCTGCTTGACTATAAGATGCTTTTTACGTTGAATATAGTTTTTTTTTTTAAAGCTTTAGCATATACTCATTTACCTTCTTCCCATACACCATTTATGTGCTTTTGTCAATATTGCTGCACCTAGCAAAATGAGTGAAGTTTATTTCTGAAGGCATCAGCTTGACTGTCATTTTTAATGCTATATGTGTTCCCCATAGCACAAGCAAATGTTGAAACTGTGCTTTGCAGTGATTTCATATCATTACAAAAATGTTTTGTTACCTCAGTGTAACAACACAAACCTCCATTTTTGAAGATTTGTAAACGAAAACCTGATTGCATTGTGTAGCTTATGAACTCAGGAGCCTTGTGGGGGGAAAAAATTGACTTTTTAAATTGTATTCCTCTTAACTCAGTTATGCAGTATTTGCACTTTTGCTTCCCTTGACTTGCCTGTGAGATGACTGTCAGCTGTAGTGTTTGTCTGAAGTCCATTAGTTTAGATTGTAAATGCAGCTCTGTACTCTGATTTCACATTTTCAGAACTCAGATCGTCACCTAATAAACCATATGGCAAAGGAAGCAAAAGGAAACAAGATGATCTAGCTGATGAAGAACTCTGCTGGGTTGAATCTTTGGCCTGTGACCTACCGGAAGATGATGATTCAGTGGAAGATCCCACTTATGAGGTGTTGATTTAGAATTGCCACAATAAATATTGTAGGATTTTTATTAACGTACTGTGTGCAGCAATCAGCAAGATGTTTGTCATAGTGTGGAGCTGGAGGAACCCAGCGGGCCAGGCAACATCAGAGGAGCAGAAAAGTTGACATTAAGGGTCCCGACCCGAAACGTCAATTTTCCTGCTCCTCTGATGCTGCTCGGCCTGCTGTGTTCCTCCAGCTCCACACTGTTATCTCTGACTCCAGCATTTGCAGTTCCTGCTATCACCTAAGATGCTTGTGTTTGGTTTCTCCTGAGTGTGGCTTTTTATTTTGTTTTGAAGTATGATTCCATGGAAACTGAATAAGTCAAAATGCCAGTTGGGGATTGTATGCCTCTGACTATTCACTCTCCTCATACAGTCTCCCTCTGATATCACATTACCGGGATTCCTGAGACTAGGGACTTGTGCCAGTGAATTGCTTACAAGTTCTTTTTTTTTTCTAACCAAATAGCTCAGCTGCTGCCTCCATAAAGTTAATTTTGCTCCAGTCTTTCTCAACTGCACCAAGTAAATAATATAAGTGGGCTTCTCTCTAAGGCTACTGTGACCTGCAATGAACAATCAGCACCTAAAGCTTTGTTTACAATCTCCATATTTTTCTAACTGACTGAGTTCTGTTGGCATACTTTTCATGCTAGTCTCCACAATGCAAGTGCCCTAATTTTGAGAATGCTCAACCCCTGCCTGATCTCTGTACCAAAAAGCCTGTCACACTGCACATGTACTAGGACTCCCAGGGCATGTTGGTAATTGGAGTTCTCAGCCTCCATAGCAATGCCATAAAGAAGCATTTGCTGGAGTCTCTCATCCCACCTTAAAAAAGCAAAGGCAACTTAGCATTTCTCCCCATAAGGAACACAGATAATTTGTCATACTTGTGTTCTCATTGCTGTTGAGTTAAGCTATTTTAATTTTGGACCAAGGTGGAAACCTACTATGAAGGTCTTTATTGAGAATCTCAAAGGCAGATTATATCGTGTAAAAGCACATCTGGCTTCAGCCCCTTTTCAGTTCTGATCAATTTTAGCTGCATTATTTCCTGGTTTTTATCTATTTCCTCCTATTCCAGTGATTTAAACCAGTATGTTTTGTTATGATCAACACACATTTTCAATATCAGAACTTGGCCTTTCTGCATGCAAGGATCCATCATTGGGACATCAATCTGTTAAACAAACTATTGACTTCAGTGGCTGACTTGATGACTCCTCTCTGACAAGTCAAGATGCACAGTTTGCAAGTCAGGAATCTTGGTTTGTTTTTTTTTTGCCTAGTTTTATGCTCACAGCAAGAGTTTATATTCAAAACTGTTCCAGAAGGCTGGGGTTTCTTCATAACTCCGAATTACATGTTAAAACCTTTTTTTGTTTGTTATTCTCATGGGATTTGGGTGTCACTGGCTTTTTTTTTTGCCTTTCTCAAACTGCCATGGAATTGATTTGAAATGGCTGAAAGAACCAGAGTTCAGTTAAGAGTAAACCACATTGCTGTGAATGTGGAGTCCCATGTAGGCCGGACTAGGTGTGACAAACTTCCTTCCCTGAAAGACACTAGTGGACCAGATTTGGCTTTTACAGCAATCAAGTGGTTGTCAATAGGCTAGTTTTTAATAACTAAATATTTATTGATTTACATTTCACCAACTGCCACAGAGATTTGAACACATTAGTCTGGATCGTTAGTCCAGTTTACTGACATTTGCCAAGCTACACAAACACATTCTCAAAATACCACAACACAGTAGAGTGAACTATGCAGATACCAGTCTTGGTCTTGCATTATTGAAAGATTATTCCATGAGCCCTACTGCCTAATGCTAATCAGTCTATTCCACATTCCTCTTTGCATGTATTTCTAATAATTTCATTTCCTTACTCTAACACCACCCACACTGCTATTTATGCCTAGTGAGGAATAATTGAGTGACATCTTTGCAAAACTACAACAGGGTCCTGAAGCCCTTCCACAGCAGTGACTTTGCTTTTAAATGAAAAGCTGGAAAACCTTTTTAACCCTCACCTAAAAAAGTATTTAGTCATTTTTTTAAAACTTTCCTTTCTTCAAACACCCTTCTGTCTGATTTCAAACCAAGACTAAAAATTATTATTAGAAATAAAAATCCAGATATATTTTAAGATAATCTGGAATCTTGCAGACTGTTTTAACTGAATTTATTGCAGTTAAAGGGAGAGGTTATGTGTATTTGGATGGAAAAGCTCAGCTGCCAACTGCAGGTAGGAAGCCTAATGAAATTTAGTTTTGGCTACAGTTTGGAAACCAACAAAATAGGTTTCTATGGGGCATATCCACTTTGGTTTTTTTTGGTTATAAAGTTGTTTTCTAAAGAATGTAAAGTTAAAAGACCATTTTTAATGACTTAGTGAAGACTTGAATACCAATTAATTATGCCATTTTGTTCTCCTTAGTTTAAGACTGCAGTTTTTTGCCATTAATAAATTTTATTTTTGAATTGACATTTGACACTTACAACTCCATTTAGCCCAGCAAATACTACACTGACTCTGAAGAAGTTAGCGAGGAGCACAGGGAATGTAATGATACAGAGACTGACCTGGAGGTAGAAGAGACTGGAGACCCTGGCTTATTGAGACTGAAAGAGACTCCTCATCATGAGGTAAGAACTAGATGTTTTGCACAATGAGAAATTAGACTTTGGTTTTATTACCAATAAACAATTTGGGTTATTTTGCATCACATAGGGAAAAACTGAAATTATTCCATGAGTGAAATGTCATAAAGAGAATAATCTTGAACTTTAAGACTCCTGTGCATTTTGCAGATCTTAGTCTGTCTGTTTTGACGCTTGTAGTCAATGTCCTGCTGATCTGTTCCACAATCCTAAATTTTCTAAAACTGCCTTCATCAACAGATTATTCATAACTGCTGTTCAGAAATAGTCTGTGACCTAAACTGTCAATTATCATACAACAACACATTCTTGTCATCTAGTAGTGGGGAGAGGGCAACCCTCATGACAGAAGTGATGTACAAATGCTTTGATATTCTGTAATTTGTTTAAATAATAGATGTGCAAATGGTCACACATTAAATATTCAAATGATGTTTCCTTCGTTTAAAAAATATGTACACAGCATTGTATATTATGGCAATTCAGTGATTTAGTCTAACTTAAGTAATGGCTGCTTCAGCCACTTCCATATTTTTTATTAGCTTCCAGACCTGATACATGCTACTTCTGCCTGTCAACTTGATTTATTTATTCATTGTCATGTGTACTTGTAATTTGTAAGAAATACAGTGAAGTGTTGTATAATATTGCCACTCTGGTGCCATTTTGAAACATAGAAAATTACAACAGTGTTGTACCATTACTGGTCTTGTAGCAGAATTCATTTCGCTGTCATTTCTTTGCTTTTTGAAACCAAAGACGTTGCATTTTAAATGCTGACATACTTTTTTTTTCACTGTCTGTTTGAAAAATTGAGAGGAAAAATCCTATGAAATTTCCTCTGAATATCTGAATTTTCTAACTATCCCCTTGTGAGCACTGGTGAATTCTTTTTTCAATTTACTTGATCTTTACAATGTTCCTCTTTTTAAATTTCTGTCGTTCTGTTTTTATACTATGCTTGATTTTAAATGGCTAATTTGGATATTCAGTAGCCTGAGCTGTGCCTGCAAAGAAGAGCATGCAATGAATCCAGTCTGGAGCCTTCAATTGGACCTAATGGAAATATACAGACCTGAAATGTTAGCTGTTTTTCTCTCCAGAAAGTTTTGACTTGCAGTTTTTTCACTATTGCCTTCCTGAAATATCAAACAGGCTTTCAAGAGCAGATTTGTTAAAGGTGACTTCAAGTGAGCCATGTATTTCAGTTTAATTTTGTCTTAAAATCTAAACTTTTCCATAACTGACCCAAGACTAGAAGTTTTATAAAACCCCTATTCTACTGTGCCTTGGGTTTTGGTAGGAGCTGTTCCATTATGATGGCTGAGACTAAAGAGCCATATTTTTCTACGTTAGCTCTAGATAATAGTATGAAGAATTTGAAGTTAATCTGGGGTGATTTGGATTCCATGGTGACAGGTGACTGGCCTGTTTGGGGATGGGGGGTGGAAAGCTATCATCACTCCTGAAATTAAATTTCTTATGTATTCTAAATTTAAAACTTGATTTCCACATTTTGTAGCAGAATGAAAACGATGTACCTTGCATTGATTCTAATGAGCGTATCAATTCTTAAGGTAAGATTTTAGCCTCTAGGCATCAATAAATTGCCAAAAATGTGTAGTGTATTGCCTCAAAGTCAAAAGTAATCATCTCTCATGTTAGAGTTCCTACTCAATTTATTGGATTTGTTTGATTCAAGACAGAACAAAGATCTAGGTGATTATTTCTTTACTACATTAATGCATACAAGCTGAAGTCTGTCATCAGGTCCCCTTGTGGTTTTAAACGGCTTTCTGCTGTGTTTACTGCAAGCATTTTTTTTTGGGTTAAAGACCTCAGTTTTGCATGTTGTTTATTGTAGTAATCATGTCCTCTGTAACTGCAAATGTATCAGATTTGAGTAAGATAATTATGTCCTAATGCCTTTCAATGCCAACAGCCATGTCACTCTTGTATCTAGTTGGCTATTTAATTTATATATAAACTTTGCTTCAAAGTCAAGACTAGATAAACTGTCTGGGTGTCAACGAATCTAAGTGGTATCTTAAGATTAACTAAACTGCTTTTGATCTTCCTGAATTCCTTCAATTCTAGAGTATTTTTCAAATCCTTGAAAGTAACAGACAGAACCACCGTTTAAGGAAGAGGGACAATGGGGTGCAATAAGAGGGCATATGCTAGAATCAATTATTAAGGAAAAGGTAATAGTACTTAATGCTTGGCATGACTTTGAGCAGCGTTAACATGGATTTATGAATGGGAAATGGTTGGGAAAATCTTTAAATTTTGAGGATGGAAAAGGGGATATTAGGCCTGTAGCATATTTGTGATTTTTAACATCGAGGAACATGGATAGCTATTCAAAATTGGTCCTTTTATTCGCATGGATTAATGTTCAGAAAATAGAATATTTGCAGATTGATAACTTGCAATCTGCAGTATATAGCAAGGATCAATACTTTGACCTCAACTATTTACAATCTATATTAGAGATGGGGTTGATGTAATGGCAGTGTAAATTTTAGAATGGCAAGTAATCTGAACTGCAGAAAGATATTGATCATGTGTCTGTCTGGAAGAATCTGTTCAATGGAATACAATGAAGTTATCCACCTCTTAATGAAAAAATTAAAAAAACAGTTTTTAAAATGCTCAGACTAGGAATATGTACATGCTGAGGGTCCTGGTCGTCCTTTATATATGGAAGACAAGATTAGCATTCACGTTTCACATTTCTTAAACAGTGTTCATTTCAGACTAGAGAGCCTTCCTTTTTTATACTGTTGTGTTTCCATGAAGATCTTCTAATATCAGTTATTTGAGGTTTCACGATCAGTTTTAAGTGTTATAACCCCTTTAAAACCTTACCTTCACTGAATTCAGTAAATTATCTGATGGTTAGTTCTAGAAAAAGTCCAATGCTAAACCTGTTTTTATTTCCCCTATTCTTTCCTACCACAGTCCTGATTTTTTTTCAAATGTTTAAGTATTTTAAAAAGATGCAATGGTGTGTGCACTGCTTTTTTTTCTAATATTTTCCCCCACTGATTTTCCACCCTCTTGGAGTGACAATATGAAATCAATTATTTCTCATCTTTTTTGTAATAATACCTCTCTGGTCTCTGATGCACCAGCTAAAATGTTTTTGTCTTCTTTGCTCTACACACAGTAATCCTGCTAACCTTTGTATATTGGGTCAAACTATTGTTTTCAAAACCTCATTTGATCCTGGTAACTTTGTTGTAGTCTCTGGCTTTGATATCCTCCTTTGCTGTAGTGGTACACCCAAATATTCATGTGGGATTGTTTATTCCCTGTGATCCATGCTACTAGTTATAAAACAATCAAAGTGCTGTTTTCTTTACAATGCTGTCTATCTACACCTGTACTTTTGTAGAACTTTTTTGGTGTTCAGTACTCAATGTTTCAGTCTCCTGTACTAAATAAGTACTTTTCTCCTTCCTGTTTTTCCCCTTCTCCAGGTTTACATCGATCTTTCTTTCTGTTCTATTAAACATTATTGTCCTTCAAACGTCTTTGCAACCAGCACACAGTGGAATTGCATTATTCCTTCGATAGACCAGATTAAATGCAATTTTTGGTTTTGTGAGCTTGAATGCTTTTTTCAATTTCCTTTAAATATCAGATTGAATGAAGTGGTTAACTGGGAGTCTGTTCACTTCCACTTTATTATTGAAGGGAAAGAGAAATTCTTTTCTCTTTATAATTGCAAGTCTATCTAAGCTTGACAGAAGAATTGACCGAGAGCTGCGCCATTGAGTCTCCTGCTGTTCATGGAGATCCATGGCTGATCTGATAACCCCAATTCCACTTTTCTGCCTTTTCTTCCCCATAAGCCTTGATTCCCTTCCTGGTTTAGAAATCTATCCATCTCTGCCTCCAATATACTTAACGATTCAGCATTGTTAGCCTTCTACAATAAAACATTTCTCTGATTCACTACTCAAATTCCTCCTCATCTGTCTCAAATGTACTGTTTGACTATGTTCTCCAGTCCAAAACTCTCCCACAAAGTGAAATGAATTCTTCACATCTACCCTGTCAAGTCCCCTAAAAGTCTTTTGTAATTGATCAGACTTGAGGTACTCCTTTTTTTTTAAAAAATTTAAATAGAACTCCTTTTATGACCCTTGGGACATGTGCAAAAAAATGTATTACTGTGTTGCAGTGTGTGACATGCAACCAAATTGCACACCGCACACTGATTACATTGCAGTACAATAAGAGCCAGATTGTCTTGTTGACTTGTGTGGTAACCAAGACTGAGGAAAACACTCCTGCTTTTTCAGCCAACTGCACATTAGACCAAGTCTCAGCTTAAGTTTGCAATTAAAAGATTCCTTTGTATGCATAGAACTCTATTCAATATTGAAGTGTCTGAAAATATTTCTTAGATTATAAAGAGGTTTTCCATAGAACACTGAGGAGTCAATGAATTGAGCCCTTTGAATCTGTACTGGTGCTGCCAGACCAGATTCAGAGAAACAATTAATATTTCAAGTCCAGTGACCTATCCTATGGTATTTGGACCAATTTTTTTTTTCTTTTAAACATAATCTATTTTTCTGATCAACCTGTTATTAAACATCTTTGGATCAGGTGGGAGTTTAAACTGGACTTGCGGGTCTTGAGGTGGGGACAGTACCACTATGCCACAGACCTTTTGATGCAGTTTAGTAGTGTTTGGCCTGGTTCAAATGTATTGTGAAAATTTTTATTTTCTTTTGCCTCTAGTAAACTTTGTTTTTTTTTCAGATTGAGAACCTGAGCATGACTGACTTTTCTCCATAAATATTTGAACTTTTGTAATTTGAATCAACTGTACTTTCTGTACATTCAGTTTTGTGTATTGAGATTTAATAAAAATCATTCAGTTTAATCATCATTTAGTTCATCTTTTTAAGAGCCAAATTGAAAGCCATTTTTATGCTAATAAAAGCCTATTCACAGCTCTTGCTACCCTTGTTTTCACCGTGCACACTTCATTAACTTCAGTTCATCCAAAATGTTATTCCCACAGCAAATTCTGTTCAAGTTACCTTGGTGCTTGAGAGATAGTAGGAACTGCAGATGCTGGAGAATCTGCGATAACAGGGTGTAAAGCTGGATGACCACAGCAGGCCAAACAGCATCAGAGGAGCAAGAAAGCTGATGTTTCGGGCCTAGACCCTTCTTCCGCCTTACCTTGGTGCTTGTTGCCTTACTTCAGGTCCAGGTCCAGCTCCAGCAACAACTTGATTCTAAAAGTTTTTTAACTAAAAATAAATTGTTCTAAAATCCACGGCTTCAACCCCTCCCAACTGTTAACCATTTTCTATCCCACAAGTCTCGACATCTGTGTCTCTTGTGCATCTCCAGTTTCTATTCCTTCACTGTTGGCCATGCCTCCTTGTTCATGTGTCCTAGGATCTGGAATTCCCTCTTTAGAACTCTTTCTGAGCTTTATTAAAAGATGCTTTTTAAAACCTCCCTTTCCTGCTGAGCTTTCGGTCACCTGCCTAATTATTTTTAATAGGCCCAATGTCAAGTTTGAATTTCCTCCAGCATTTTTGGGGTTATTTGGTCACTGCTTCTTTTACAAAAAGTAGTATAGATACAAGTTGTTGTTTTGATCATGAAATATTTTTGTTTAGCCAACACTAAATATCTATAATCAATGGGAGGCCTGAATTGATGTAAATCTGTTCACTACTGCACTGCTAGGTCCAGTGCCTGCTTTTAAGCACACGGTTTAACAGTTGTGTTTGACTGCTACAACAGTAAATATTTCTACTGCTGTGCAATTGTTTGGCAAGTAAGCAGCATTAGCACATCTGAAAGTCTTTAAACTTAAACTCACGCTTGGTCCTGTAAAATGTTACACCACCTTGTATCACTTGCAGTTTTAATGGCCTTTTAATGGCTAATTGCTGTGATTCAAAAATACATGGCACATATTATCTGCAACAATACAAATAACAATACCTAATATGTATTCAACAAATTCTAATTCACATCTTTGAGCTTTGAAAGGTTGTTGCCTTTAAGCTCCCAGTTGCATCTATTGTTTGCTGTGTTACATTATGACTGTGTTGCTCTTGTCATGTATAAACTGCCCACGTCAGGTGGGAGGTCATCATTTTAAAAAAAAAATCCAACCGTCTCCCCTTGACATTCAATGGTATTACCATTCCTAAAACCCTACACTATAAGAGTTATCACGATTCTGATGATTTATTTTTGACTTCCATTACCTGATTTTATTACTTGGCACTTACATGGACTGAAATGGCTTTGAAAAGGAAAGACAACTTAATGATCACCTGACTGGAGGTTGAGCTAAACGTCAGAGAACCACTGTGGAGTAAACAAAATCATCTGATCTGAGATTGATGCTTTAAGGCTGAAACTAGCAAGGCATAAAGAAACATATATTGAAATTCTCACTTCAATTTTTCAAGTTTTGAAACAATAATGCTAGACATGGAAGTACATGAATAAGCTGTATCAAGCACTGCTTTGTCAGAGCAGGAATTAAATGGAATTGGAGAATTCTCCTTGTTTGTCAAAAATGACCCATTGATACCCCATTCTGGTGAGGTAATGGGTAACAGCCACACAGGATACCACTATTGTCAATGTTCATGAATAACATTCATCCATGTCATTACGCAAGGATGATCTTGCATTAAAATCTAACATACGAGTCATAGAATCACTACAGTGTGGGAGCGGGCCATTTGGCCCATTGAGTCCACACCAATCCTACAAAGAACACCACACCCCCAACATAACCTTGCATTTTCCATGGCTCACCTGGCCAACCCACCTAACCTCCACATCCCTGTACACTATGGGCAATTTAGCACTGTTGGATCTGTGCTGTAATGTCACAGGCAAATATTTAGTCTGAATTCTGACTCCACTGAAGTTGAGGCAGATTTCTTTATAATGAAATGTCACGTCATAAAATCCTGTCTTAAAGGTACATTACCGGTTGGCCTGGAATCTATGCAATTACAACAGAACTGCATATTGCTTTTGTAGACCTGAGCAAAGCCATTTGTTTTTTGGACTGGTCTCCTTTGTCTGTTTAAAATAAAAAAAACCCTTCGGATTGTGAAGTATTTTCGAGGTGAAATGAATGGAAGAACCATCTTTTATGGGCTGAAACCTGACTCATCCCTGAAATAGCGCAGGGTCATGTTCTTGCTTTGCTGTTTTGGCATCTTCTGCCTCTTCTGCATGCTTTATGGGATTGTGATTTTGGAGAAATCAATTGATTAAATTGGATTGTACTCCCACCTGAGGTCTCGTAAGTAGAGCATTATATGTGAGTCATTAGTAACAATGCAACTATGGAGCTATTTTGTTCGTACTTGCTATGTTACTTTATTTTTTTTTAAAACTGAATTTTAAGTAACTGACTTGCAATGCATGCATGGGTCACAAGGGAGCAGCAGCAAATCATCCATTTATAATCTTATCCTACTACATTTGCTTTTAGAGTTTTATTACTATTTACTTTTATTTTGTTTTGAAGATTAATTTGTTTGCTTTAATGCCTTATTTTGTATTGCCAAATGGATTGTTTGTTTATTTAGAGTCATTTCTGGCATAGTAAGAATGTATTGTCAATATATTGTTATTATAAGGAAATATATAGCAACCTTTGTTGAAATGAAATTAATGATTGTTTCAAATGATTGAAGTTAAAATGAGTATAGCATTAAATGATTCTGAAACTGAATTTGTGCTTTGAAAGCAAAAGAAATGTGCAAAGGTAATTTTTTTACACTGAATGTACTCTTTCCCTCAAAGACATCATTTATCTGTATTAGTCTTGGGTCCAACAAAAATCTGTACTGTAAAATGAAATGTCCAGACAGATAAAGCAACATAAACATTCAGCACCAATAGTCCCCTTGATTGCAAAAGCAACATTTCACTACTTGTTATTTGCTAAGCAAAAGAAACTGATCTATCACCATTTATTTATTTCTAATCCATCAACAGCCCAGAGGGACCTGCAACACCACCAACCAACTAAATTATGTTAAAAAAACTGTCAAACTCTTTAAAATGTTAGTTTTTCACTACCCCATTATTTGTCCCAAAAATAATACTTTCCTCTTGATAAAGTTAAATTTTAAACTATCAAGCTTCCCAATAACACTGTCATCTTTTAAAAACACTGGCTACGTGCAAGTTGTCATTTTTTTTTGTAACTTTTTATTTTTGTTTTGGAGAGTTTCTCTTCACAAGGTTCACGGAATTTCTTGTGATGACTTTGTCAAACTCTCCTCATTAACTATCTGTCCTGCTCCCTATGGTATCCCTCACATCAGATTCTAGTCCCATTGTGCCACACACCATGCCAGGAACAAATCACCACACACTGGGTATCCTGAAAAGACCTCCATCCCTGGTACCCGTGTCATATTTAAAAGGTCCCTCTGCGCCCAGATGAGCATTGACATTCCGAAGCTGCCCTTGCTGATTGGAAAGGTTGTGAACATGTTGGAGAAGGGGAAGATGGTTCCCAGAGTCTCCAGCAGGGACCTGAAGGGTCTTTGGTGGAGGGAATTGGTGCAAAGGGCATCTCTTCCTGGACAACTGGCAGATTAGACCATACTACCAGAATCTTCTAGCCTGGTCCCACGTTGTCACCAGAGTTCGTGCCATCTAAAGGTTGTGAGGAATGGCTAATAGTGGAACAAGTGGTCGCTGACCTTCTCCACTCCGACAGGGTAAGTACCCCACACCTCCTCATTCTATCTGCTACTACACTCACTTGTGTGAGTCTACATGTATCTCTGCCAACTCATGCCATGTTCTCTCTGGACATGTTTCAGTGTCTCTGTTGAGAGGCCGCTGCAACATGTGACAACAAGACACCATTGTCCCTCATCCCTCTATTTATTAACTGACCATTGAGACCAAAAGGGCAGGTGTGAATGAGGTGGTCAGTGATCTCTAGGGAAGGGAAGCTCACAAAATCCAGGGAGCCAAAGCATTAGGATGGCCAGGGATTAGAGACCTTGCAGGTATGTGTTCTGTCCGGTGCACGGATCTGTGTGTAAAGTTGTTTCCCTTTTATAAAGGGCCTCTCAGTGGTGAGACCTGCACCCCTTCCCTCAGGTCCAGGCACTTGCCCTGCCCCCTCAGGGTTTTCTGTTTTTCTTTCCCATTGCTTTTGATTTCAAGCACTGTGCAAAGACATTGAACACTGTTTGGCTAGTAGCTTCCAGTCTCTGCCTCTACTTGACCGAGTCTCTGAAGATCCAGAACTTGAAGCTAGGATGCTCCTGAAGGGATGAATCCATTCCCATCCATTCTTCACTTTATCACCGTTCCCCCCCCCCCCCCCGCCCAGCTCACAAATACTGTTGGCCCTTGTCTTTCCCCTCCCACCCCATCCTGTCCTCCAACCTGAAACTCCCAAACTCAAAGAATAGATACCAGAATCTCCATCCTGTGGCAGCACAGCACGTTCCCCATCTCTCTTTCTCCTTAGCTTCTGTGGGTGGACTTGCTTGCTTGACTGTGACCATCCTCTTTGAGTGATGTAACCAGCAACCCTAGATAAGTGCCCAGATGCCTGACTGATGCCTGTACATCTCCCTGACCATGTCAGTGCCCCTTTTCCCCCAGCCAGCCACTGTGGAGCCACAGGATTAGCCATGACCTAATCCCCAGATAGAGATCATCCCAGTTGAATGCCTGACCATGGGCAACACCTGGATTGGTATCAAAGGCTGCCCTTCACTTGTGTCCAGAGCCCTTGTCTGATGAATGCCTCAATGGGCTTTAATGAGGACTACTCCCCTCAGTCTTGGAGATGTGGCTGCTGTATTGTATTGACACTATATTGACTCTGACTCCAGCATCTGCAGTTCT